GCAACTCATAGAAAAACCAAGGAAAAGATATGAGTGGGTCACAGTTTAGAACGAGGGTAATGGCTGGATAGCAGTAAAAGGATAGAATCAAACAGAGAAACGTGAATGTTGCAAGGGAGAAATTAGCTTTAATTTCTCCTGAAAGAAAATGAGGGGATATAATCATAGCTGCAATTAAAACCAGAAAAATCACATACTTGCACAGCATTACCACTGCCTCTCTAGCAACTGAATCTCCATAGCTCAGTTTTTCAGTCTGGCAAATGGATATAGTAATTCTCAAAATGTCTGCTATGGGACTTAATTATATCAAAGCATATAAGTAGCACTAGTTACGAAAAATACTGTTGTTTTACTTAAGTTATACTAAGTCAGGAATTTTCTTATTTACTTGAATATTCCTCTGTGACTCTACAAGAAAAGATGGCAATAGACCATAATATTTATTTCCTAAAAGAGGTAAAGGTCTTTAAAAAAGCTTTAAAAAAGTGACTCGTTCAAGTTTGATCTGATTCACAGGAAGATGACCTTCAACCTGGCATCATTTTAAGAAAACCTCGTACAAACCTGTTCACATAAACAATACCCTATGTAAAAGGGAAGCCTTTCCATAATTATGGCTCATATTCGGCAGGGGAACTGCGTGCCTTCCAGCATTGTACTGCAAAAAGGGAACGGGCACGAGCACTTTCATGACCAGGTAAAACTGAATAGCATTGAGAAACAGGATTGTACACGTGCATAAACTCCAGCAGCTTCACAGAAGAAAATGAATGATGCTGAAGAATACTTAACACATGCCCGTGTCTCCAAAATAGAGAGGATGCTACAAATATCATCATTTAGTGATAGGAGCTGCTTGCTTATTCTGACTTCACAACTGATCAGCAACAGACTTGATTACTCTGGAAGTGATGGTGAACTCTGAGAGCGACAGCACTAAAGCAGGGAGCCAAGCAGGATCTGAAGGAGCCTTGGCTGGTAGCCTGCCCTGCCACACTAACTGCTCTGATCAAGCACCTCTGTCCTGGAGATGTCCAACAAACATACAAGTGCTTCGGGAGATGGAAGACAAAGTTCCTCCTCAGTTTATGCCTCACTTTGGCAAACTGCTTAGACAGGCCCTGAGCTGTGAGTGTCACTAACTATTAAAGTATGCACCTAAAACTGAACAAGTGTTTCAAGGTTCTCCTACATTTGAATGGATTTCAGCTCACATTTGGATTCTCGACTGCACAGAGACATTACAGACCGCAAATTTCCTGATGCCGGAGTATTCATGCCACTTGGCACGAGACACAAAGGTACCACAGAGAGCTGTTTTCACACAGGTTAAATTCTGTAAAGAACCCACGTAGCTAACTGAGGCTGCTGCTGCAGGGGCACAGCAATAACAAACTGAAGCTCAGACATTTAAAACTTACCAAGGGTGGATATCACACAGGTAACCCATCTTAATCCACAAGGAGACAAACCCTGTGCCACGGAAGCTAAATATAGACATATATACACATGTATTTATTTACAGTTTCTAACAAGTGGTCATTTAATTGAAATGCAGTCCACATCAACCACATCATCACCTTGCAGAATTAGCTACTCTGCCTAAATAACACAAAATATTACTTAAGATTACAGCAATCTGTTTGATTACTTCACAGCACAGGTCCATGGAAATGTAACTCAGAAATTGGAGCACAACTACAATACATTATTCTTCAGGAGGAACCTTGTATTAATCATTCCAAGCGTTACAGGCAAGGCTTGCAAGCGTAAGTGTTGCTAATGAGGTAGTTTATCACATCAAGGGTAAATTCACCTTCTTGCCTGAGGAGCTTTTCACTGAAATAAATCAGCTTTACTTTCCCCACTCCTTTTTTTTTAAAAAAAATAAGAAAAATCCTTGCATTTTATGGTAATTCAAAGTGCCTCCAGTGAGGATAATTCAAATGATGTCACTGTGACCAGTAAGATTAAAAACAGATGAATTAGAGCATCTATTAATAGAACATTCCTACCTTCTCCTTTTTTTCTCCCCTCTCAACTTCCACAAAACTTTACACTGACTTGATTTCCTTTGAATGCTCCATTACAAGGTCTTCCAACACCTTTACCAGCTGTTCTTTCAGATGTATTTTCTCCTCATGGGACTGACGCTTGCTTTTTCAAGTCCCCTGTGTCTTTTATATATGTGCTTTCAGAAGCTACAGCTTCAGCAGGCTGTAAAACACTATTTATTTATGACAAAACCAGGGTAGAACTCAGGTTTCTTTGTAATCTGTTTTGTCGGGAACATACTATTTAAGAGGATATGCTCCACTGAAAAATACTGCCTTTATTTCAGTTATGCATGTGAGTTGTGATGAGAGAGAGTTTTTTGCCTCTTCTGCAGCCAAGGATTTTGTTTTGCTTTGCTCCTGCAGTTTGGCTGTGGGCATGTGACTCCCTCCCAATCACAGAGGCTTCCTTTAAGGACAACCTTATTCTGTGAAAGAGTACAGGATAGATCTGGGTTTTATTATGTCACTAATGCCAGGTCTGACTTTCCAGAATAGCAGCATAACAATCTTCTAGGAGAACAATATAGCAAATAGTTTGGACCATAAAACTGATGAGGAGGAGATGCTGTGGAGAGGGACCACTCAGTAAATTCATTGTACTGAGTTGATTCTTGGTATTATTTCTGTTACGTCTTTCAAGGGAACAGAAGTGTCTTCCATATTTAGAAATAAAGAAATAGATCATGTCAACTTGGTCCCAAGAGCAAACTCTGGTGTTGGACCTTCTTCTCTAAAAGGGCTTGGTGATAGAAGAATTTAAACAGCCTGCCCCAGGCTATCACAGCTGTATTTTGAGCATGTTTGCAGTTTTCTTGCTGTCATTGCAGTAATTCATGTACTTGAGCCTATGAATCAGAATCAAACTGAATGGGGGTGGTGGTCTGTAAATCTTATAGGGACTGACTTCTGTAGAACGACTCAAAGGCAGAATAAAATGACACTGATTTAGGACTCTTTGGCATGCCCTACCTTTGAATGTTTGAGAGCAAAATATCTGTTAAAGGCCCCACATGCCTCTACAGCCTCTCTTGCTTTGGATCTGTTTGATAGAAGTCTTTTGCTGCAGCTCTATTATTCGACTCTTCAGTTCATCTACTTCATTAATTCATTCATTCGTTCTGAGAATTCAATATAGCTTCCATCCATTCCATAATGGCAAAATTTGCAGTTCAAATAGCATAAATAACTTGTGGAATTTCTAGTATGAGTGACATGGGAAATATTTCTGAGTGACATTAATGAGCATCTTACCTGCCTTTTGCAGGAGTTCCTTGTTCTGTCTTTGGCTGCATTTAGCTCTTTCTCTTCTTAGCTGCATTTAGCTCTTTCTTTTCTTTCATTATACATTTTGAGCTGAGAATTAAGTTGTATTTCCAAACCTCAAAATATGCATGGAACTACTTCTATGTACATTATTTAGGTTATTTTTCCTGCCTTCTGCAGTGAATGGTCATTTTCTCTCTCAGTGCAATTCAATGACATGAATCACTCACCTATAGAGCTAATCTGAAGGAATCTTTTTCTCTTCTATGTCTTTAAATGACCTCCAACCACAGTATCTGTAATGCAGAGCTAGAAGCAGCAGGCTCCTGTGTAACGTGAACACTCATCAGCAGTTACCACATGAAAGATGCCTGAGATTATCCTAAACACGGAGCAGGATGTATCTGCATTAATTTCATGACAATTTGTGCAACAATTAATGATTTTTTTTGAATTGCTGAAGTACTATATTTTAATGGAGATAATGGAGATGCCTTAAAAAAAAAAAAAAAAAAGGTAAAAAGGGTGCCCTAGTTACTTTGCTGGAATTATCTGTCCATCACTAAAGGCAAAACTTTGCCCATAATTAATATTCTATTTCAGAAGCTCTAGTCTCAGTCTCCACGAGAGCTTCAACACTGACTTGGACAACATTTCTATTTGTTCCTATATTGTTGTTATTTGAATAAAACCTCATGCATGGGTCAAACCCAACTCCCATGTGACATTTTCTATAACTAGGTGATGCTGGTGTCTACAAGACCTTTGAGTTCTCCAAGACTCTGATGGAGATGCACCTTCCTTCCCATCAGGAGATACTTCCCTCATGTCTGTTTCCAAACTAATATGCAAAACAGCTGGCACAAGGCTGAAGACAGATTTAAGGTGAGCTTACGTGATAGGAAGGGCCTACAGTGTTACATGGACACAGAGGGACACAGAGCAAGTGCAGAGCAGGGCTAGGTGCTTCAGCTTCAGCACAGCTCACCAGCATTTCCCCATTTTATGGCCTTATGTCATGACCCGATGAACCACACGTAGTTCGTTGGCAGGCTGCCTATGATCTGCTAATGCTGGCAGCAGTGCCTGGCGCACGATGTGCTGCAAATGCAGGAGCTACACATCAGCTTGGGTAGACAAGCAAAGCATCAAGTAAGATCTGGCTGATTCAGCACACAAAACTACATGTTTACAGGATGCTACTGAACAGCACTTGGTATGAGCTACTGCTCTAAGAATCATGCAAGATAAAGTACTTGATTCCTAACCTGCCAGCTCAGTGCCTGCCCTCTTACCTGACCCTGATGACATCAGGGCACCGAGAGGCGAGACCCACAACACAGGAGTGTGCCCTGGGCACACTCTGCTGCCACCAGTGCCTGCTTACTAATCCCTTCTCAGTTCCGTGCAGAAATACTTACAGTTTTACCTCCTCCAGGGAATAGGAAGTCTACTGTTCAAAGAGTTCTCCTAATGAGTTACTAATCAGCTTAACTCAGTGTTTAAAAACTCCCCAGTGCTATATTCTTCCTTTTTCTCTTCTAAGCCTCTTAAATTGTTTTAGTTCTTACAAAGCACCTGACTTAAGCACTTTAAAGTCCTTTCTCCTCAAATTTTGTAGAAGCGATAATATGTTCTTTACTAGGCACAGATAGAGACCACAATTTCATACTCTACCTGTATTCTCTCTTTCATCTTCTGGGAATGTTTCTTCCTCTCATTTACCTTCCAGGTTTTTTCCTCCAGGTCAACCTCCAGTTTCTTTACCTGCTGCAACAAAAAAACTTCCTGAGCCTCTAAGCTCTTCCTTGGCTCCAGTTCTCTTTGCTGACAATTCTTCTGCTGTTCTGCCATGGATTGCTGGATAGCTTGTTGTAAAGTCTCTTTTTCTCTCTCACAGGAGTCTTGCAGTTGGCTGCTTTTCTGTGTACACTCTTCTGTGACACTCTGGTTCTCACTCTTCTGGTTTTCCATCTCTTTAATTAGAGCTTGTTCTTCCACACTGTGTTTTTTATCTAAAATCTCTTTTGTATCAAAAATCTCCCTGAGTGCTTTGCATTCATTTAACAGGCCCTCATGCTGCTGATTTAAATGTAAAAGCCTGTCTTCAAAGTCTGCATTGGTATCTCCTGTGTCCGTGGAAAGTATCTCTGCCTGTTTTACTTCCATTCTCAGCTCTTTCACCTGCTTCTTGAACAGGGTTAACTCTGCTAAGGCTTCTTCTTTGAGTCTCCTGTGTTGGTCTACTGCATCTTCAAGGACCTGAATACGCTTTCTGAGCGACTTTTCTTCTTCAGCTTTGCTTTTATACTGCAGGATTGTTTTCCTTGTCTCAGCACGAATGTGCTGAATTTCTTCTTCATGCGCATCTTTCAGAGCCTGTATATTAGCCTCATGTTCATCATTCTTAGTGTTCAGAGCATATATCACCTACAAATCAAGAAAAAGAATGTGAAATCACAGTATCTGATAATTGGTGGTATTAAGAATTTAGTTATATTTATCAAGGTCTTAAATGCTTTAAGAGAATTATTACAGTTACATTTTTGTTGCTTTCTTTTTTTCCCCTCCACTAGCAACATATGAGACAATAATAAATTGCAAAATCCTACAGAGAAGAATGATACTGTGAGAAGCAGGTTTTTTTCCAGATTTTCTCAGCAATTTCCTTTTTTACTTCTGGCAAATCATCACTTCGTCCACTTGGTCTGACCTCTAATACCAGGGATGAAACAGGACCGTTTCTAGCTGACAGACTCCCTATCTCTTCAGCCTTCAGTGCAGCAGCACCATCTGCCACTTTGCCTTTAGCCTTCATATACAGCTTATCCCTATACAAAAGTAGGTCTGGAAATTTCCTAAAACTTACAACAGCTATTATGAGTGGGGCCTGAGCCCAGAGAGGTTAATGCAAACATTCTTAGACATTATGTGAGAAAACAATAGTCTTAAATACATTAACCTAGAGAGGAGTCAATGGAGTCATGGCCAATGTTTGGATTTTACTAGAATTCAATCTTTCCTCAGGGAAGGTCTCAATTAAGAGACCAATAGGCCTAAAACCACACTGAAGTGTCACAAGTCTGCAGCCTGCACGCCGACACCCTCAGGGTGTCTTCAGAACTCTTGAGTTTGTTCAGCTACATCTAAGCATTTCCATGCTATTTATATATTGAGGAACATACTGAATTTCAGTCATCCATAAATAAAAGCAAATACACAAATACATCTTGCGTAAGCTCCACTCCAGCCCTCATAGTAATGCAACAAATATAGAGGCCTTGAAGGGCTCACAAATGCCAAACAGCCTGGGTAGGCTTGTGGATTAATACATGAAGGAGAATAGCAGCATCATGTTCCAGAAGACACAAAGTCTACATTTAGATATGTATATACTGTGGACTCGGATGACATCCTGTTAACTCTCCTCTGTTATTTTTAACTATTTTTCTTTTGAAACAGGAAGAGTTTCAGGATACTAAGTGGATTTCTTCTCTCCAAAAATTCAAACTCATTCTGTGACCCTTTTTTAAATATTCATGCCATAAAAAACAGTCATAAATCCTACAAAGAGAAGAATTAATTTTCCCCATAGTCTTGGAATGGGCCGTCATTAGCTCAGGCAACTCTTCAGTTCACTGCGTCCAATGTAACCAACCAAATATCTTCATTTCATACCATTAACAGGATGCAAATATATTATTTGAACATCAGGCTTTCATGATTCAAAAGTTTCCACTCTTGATGAATTTATGTAGTGTATTAGCACTGCCTGTCTCGCACTATGTTGTATTCAGTCTGCCAGGGGAAGGTGCATCCAAACCCTGACACTTCGCTATAGACAGGTACTTCCCAAATTGCACTGATCATTAGACCGAACTGGAGACCCTCTACATTAATAGTTACCATCAAAACCTCAGGTGAGATGCCTACAGTACTTGGAGAGACTGCCTTCCCTGCTCTACCAATTCTTCCTATGCTTCCATTCAGCAGAGGATAGAACCACAACAAAGAACTTTGACTTGAAAATGCAAGTTCTTAATCTTCAGACTTGGCTGCTGAAATTGATTCCTCAGTAAAATTCTCAAGAGATTTACTTTGCAAAGGATTTCTGCTCACTGTTCCTGAAATTTAGGTCCCTCATGCATGCCTTTCATTCCTTATGTAATACAACCCCCCAGGGCTACAATATTCATATCCTGAGTACTTCATTTAAGAGACTAAAGTCACCTGAAAAGAATTGAGGGCTTTACCTGCTTTCTGCTGGAAGGGAAAACACTGAAGAGTGATTAGAGCCACTGTGCCTTGCAGGGAGTATGTTCTGCTGGGTAGCGTGGTATAAACCTCTCACTGGCTGTGCTGATAAAAGGCTTTTTCAAAGCAGCTCTAAAACTGCTTTTTAGCAACTTGCAAACTCAATCAATTGAAGAGCCCAGAGAGCTGCCTTAATATAAAGGAAGTGATATCACTGCTTGAGTTATTTAGCACAACACGAGGGCGACTGCCCCTTACAGCTCTCCCGAGCCCTCTGTGCCTTTGGGGCCACGGTGACTTTCCATCAGCTGAACTGTATGGCAGGTTGGCAGAAACACTACTGCACAGCATGCACTGGGGAACTGGCAGTGCTGTGAACATGAATACAGCGTGGAAATCCTGTTTTATCTTCCCAGTGCCCTAAATCTAAATGGCATCTTATTTTCTTCCAGCTTTTTCATGGTGATGCAAAAAGCAAAACAAACAAAAAATCGACTGAACCTCCTCAATGAAGACAAACCTAAATGACTCATCCTGAAAAGGCTGCTCTGCTTTTTAGTAGCAATCCTATTTAACCAATCCTATTCTTGGCATTAGGAACAAACTGCTCTAGCCAGCAGCTTTATGAGCTGAATAAGATGTGAGACACTTTCCTACAGAAAGGGATGCTGTTGATAAGAAGAATCAGAAAAAAAGGGAAAGGATCCAAAATATTCTTCTCCTTTCAGGCCCAGGTTAGTGGGCAGATACAATGCATCAAATCCTTCTGGATGAGGAAAGGGCTCAAAGAAACACAATGAGAACAGACCCTAATTGCATGGGATAACTAACGGGAAAAAGGGGGAGTGTGATAGTGCAGACCTCGAGGAGGTCAAAAGGCGGCAGAGGGTGCAGGGTGCACCCGAGAGCACCCCGAGCAAAGCACAGGAGGCACCGAGTGCCCCTTGCTAGCTACTTGCTTCGGGGGATGGAGAGCAGGGGACTGTTCAGCTCTTTCCCGTTGGCAGCAGCAGCAGCACCTCACCCTCAGGAACAGCTGAGTTTGTTTCTGTGAACTTCATCTTGTCGGCTTCTGAAGCAGGAACGAGACATGGTCAGCCTTGAAATGCTCTCTTTAAAGAGAAATCACCACAAAATTACAATGAGAAAACTCACTCTGTGACAGAAATGGCTCTGTAGACACTAGTCTCCCCCATTACCATAATTATGGAGACTAGAAAATAAAATCAGCTCACACAATTGCCAAATTTATACTCTAGTAAGAACTCACACAGACGCTTTGTCCTTTCTAACACTGAAGGAGGAAGAAAGTATTTCAACAAGGGACAGACTGTCCAGGCTATGGTTAGCTCTGGTGCCGAGTCAGATTTACACCAGCACACCGATGCTTCATTCACCCTGATGACAATATATGGACTCTAACATATGGTTAGGGACCTCTAGAAAAGCCTCAAAACTTCCCTTGGGTCTCCTAGGGCTTCCTGAAAGCAGAAGAAATATATTTTATGCACACAGGTAGTTCAATGACTATTCATGCTATCCATTTACATGTTTGTATGAGAGAATATTACCACTCCAAGTATTCAGAAATATTTCAGAACCTAAAATTAAATAATACCTTTAATATCACACAAAGTTCTTGATTTTATATATTATTAGATAGTTTTATTTGCCTTATGATTTTTAGTCTTCTAAAATAAGAGGTTGGTGCTTTTGTGAGGTCCTTCAACTAAAGAAACTTATTTTCCTTTGAAGTAAAAGTTCAGCTCTGATTTAAACATCTTTGTTTGGAAAACCTGGAATTGTAAAGACCAAAAGTTCTTTCTGTGAACCTGCAGACGACTTTCAGAACCTTCAGCGTCGCTCCCTCCTCAGCGTCCCCGCTCATCCCCATTGTGGTATTTTTCATCACCCAAGGAATGAGGATGAAAGACCTCTCGCCTACACCTGTCACGAATTATATTTTAGTATCATGATATATTTTATGATTTAATGTATCAAGAAAGAATAAGAATGCTATTCTCTTTGAGTGTGTCTCATGCCTCTTTACCTCTCCCTTGTTTCTTGCCTCTTAATTTAAATTTTGTAAATGAGACACTTTTATTCCTTTTTTCCTATTTTTTACTTTTTTTTTTTTTTTTTTTTAAATCTAGCATGGTGAATGAATACTGAACATAAAGAAAAAAACAGCCTTACCATACTGGATATAGATATCGCATATGATCTATTTGCAACCAAATACAAAATTAGCCCTGGTTTACATTTTACTAAAGAGATATTCAGCTGTCCCTCACTTGTATTTGTAGTCTCCAAGTAGACAGGTCTCTCTGCAGACAAGCAGAAAAATTGTCAGGCAATTTAAGAATTGGGAAAGTAAAACTATATTTGCAAAGAATGTCTCCACAATCAGAACAAGTGGCAAAAAAGGCACTAATATAGTACTGCAACATTTCCAGAAAAGCAGAATTAGACTGTGGAATAACGGAAGTTAAATCTGATTCTGACAAGGAAACTCCACGAGTGTTCTGAAACACAAGTACTAGAGAAGGAGGTCAGATGAGGCCAGTAGTAGTTCCCACCAAGAAGCAAACAGGAAAAGCCTCCGTGTTGCTCCCTCCTCAGGAGCATCTTCTCTGTGTGTCCATCTCACTGACCACCAGGCACTTCTTCATACATGTCTTATCTACATCAGCCATCTGAATGCCTCCAAAGAGCATTTTTCCCATTCCCAATACAGGTTTCTAATATGATAAATGTAATGAATTGTTCCAGATATTTAACTGGTGGGATGGTGGTTGATATTTCTTCTGTATATACAATTTTCCAGCTGTGCTTTCCTACACAGATCTCAGGTGAAGTCTCATCCTTTGATGAGAAGAGACAGGTTTGAATTCTCACAAGCAAGAACTCATTTGTATTCCCTGTCCTTCACTCTGGTCCCTCTTTTGTGAGCTGATGTTTCACTTCACATTGCCCTAAGTTCTGGAGAGCCACTTTGTGTTGTCTTAGAAACACTTCTCAAAACAAAACAGATATTGGACATTAAGATATTACAGTTAACTACTGCAGGATTTCCTCATTAACTACTGAAAAAAAACAATTTGTTTTGTTCCTCTGAATTTTAATCAAGACTAGCAGTTTTCTATGCTTGTCCTTATAATTCATTTTCAGTGTAT